CCGTTAAGCTTTTGGACAGCTCAAAAAAAAAAAAAAAAAAGAAGGAAGAAAAAGAAAAAACCCTGACAACACTCACTTCTATATTTAATTTCCCATGACTGTGTCACGAGCACAGACCCTTGTTCCACACTGATGCACACAGCCCTGAGTCAACTGTTGTGTCAACTCTTTGAACCAAGTCTCTGCCTGGCCACTTTCACATCAGTCCAATGCTTTACGCCTGTAAGAGAGAGGGGTGCTGGCATTATTTTCAATAACACGCTGTGCTACCAAATGCAAGGCAACATCCACGTTCCCCAGGGATGGCTTCTTCTCAGGGCTGCAATGGCTAAGCCAAGGAGCAAGGGTGCCAAGGACAAACTCGGTACACGCGCAACTGGAGACCTCCAAGCCGCACGCCATAACCACCTGGCTGCATGGCAGATTTCAACGTAACGCCCAAAAGAAATGCTCCAAAATGACTTATTATCTGAATTTCAAAATCCTTTCTCCCTTTTCCTTCCCAACCAAGGCATGGTAAGAACAACAGTGCAGTACTTGTTGTAGGCTTATCCCTGAGATGGAAATCAAAAACTGTAGAGAGCTGCCATAGGAAAGCCACTCCATTTGTGAAGCACATACCATTTCGAATGTAAAAAGCTGACAGCTCCTTAAATGACTGTCGTTCTAGCGCACTCATAGTACAAAGTTAAAAAGCAAGTCCAATACATACTCCCTCTACTATAAAAATGGCTTAATTTGAGGGGAGAAGGAATTTTTGTGCTGTTTTGCCCCCACAACCAGGCAATTTTTTTTTCTTTCACAGAATGATCTCCAAGCTCTCATTACTGTTGGTCTAAAACATTCATTCCTGCCCACTCGAATCTGCCAAAAGAGACATGAATCATATGTCAATAAAACTTGGGGTCCTGAACATGTGTTTCAGAATTAATCTTAACGGCGAAATGTGTGAATCTGAGCCCAGCTACGGCAAGGCCTGCCAACTTCATTCATGGTAATTAAGCAAAGCCACACACATTTAAGGGGATATTTAAGGAGCGTAGAGTGTTCCTATGGGGACTGGACTCAAGAGCTACTCCATGAGCAGCTACTGCTATTTAGAAACACATTAATTACTCCGCAAGAAAAAGCCTCCCAGAACTACCAGGGATAAAGAATTTGGCAACACCTGCATTGACATTTTCTACAGGGAATAAGTCCTTCTGCTTAGTTGCTGGCTCTGACGATGTACTGGACGGCAGCTCCCTTGTACCTCCGCTTTGGACTCAATCCCACCGAGTGCTGAACACACGATCCAAGCTAAAAAAACACTTATGCACAGATACGGTCTTTTGCCTGAATTTTAGCATCAAGTCTTTTATTGCACTGATTCCTCAAGGCTGAGATGACAGCACTTTGCTCACCCATATTCGGGTTCTCTGACAACCCATTCCCAACATAACGAGCATGGTAATGCTGCACAGCCCCCCTCATTACACCCAAGGTAAGCTCTCAGGCTGTTGGTTAACAAGCAACTCCATGAGGTGGCAATGAAGATATTCTGTTATTAACAATGATGGGATTTCACCAGTTGAGGAGCTGTACATCCCATCTCACAGCCCTAAGGAGCTTATCCTGGTCCAGCTCACAGTGGAGTCAAGGGAGTCACTGGCTGCAGAAGCAGGACCATGCCTCAGCCTGGGTGAAACGCGCCCGTCCCTGCCGACACCACAAGTGCCAAGAGATTGCTGGCATCCCCCACCTTTTTTAGCAGGGCTCACTCGTGCTGGCACAGTCCTGTACCGAGGCAGCATCCCAGTTCTGGGCTTGACGGGGCTCAGTGCGAGGGTGGGACAAGGACTCAGCACCTGCCTTTATCAGCACACTCCATGGAAATGGCTTCCAAGTGGATACAGCAAGTGCAAAACAGATGCTCATCTTAGCCAATACCATTTAGGCTGCTTTCTCTGTTCTTCCACAGACCTTGCCCCATCCCACTCCCACCGGTATGAGGAGAAAACCTCCACAACTCGTGCCATCTGGATTCACTTTCCTCCATCTCTCCAGCTCATCATGTTTCTGTCTATAAATGCCAGTAAAAAAAAAAAAAAAAAAAAAAAAGAATTCACGTATTTTGTGTCTTTCATCTTTACATATCACGTCTATGCCTGTCTGTTTTTCTCTCCCACCTGTTACTGGTTTTCCAAGCACCTGCTTCAGCATTTTCTCTACCACGATCTTTATCGCTGGGAGGTGCCGCTGCCAGCTCCTGCTCCATGCCACAGCCCCGGGGCAGCCAACCCAGCCTGGAAAATTTTCATGGACTCATGATCAGAACTGACTCAGGCTCAGTCCAACAAGAAACTAATAAAAGCTGCCTGTCCCTCAACTAATCAAGCAAAAAAAGTGAGAAGTATAAAAAAATTGTCAACGTGTCAAATCTATCATTCCACAAGCAGAATCTTTAATCAAAAAAAACCCTCACAAATTTATAGCACCAGCATCACTGTTATTGAAAGACATTAAAATGCAGTTTTTCAAAGTAATAAGCTTTATGGTTTTACTTCTTCCAGGACCTATTTTAACCCTTTGATCAATGCATTTAACTTTAATCACTACTAAGAGAAAATACACCTTATTCAATGAACTTTAAAAATCTTATCACTGAGAAAACATGGGGAGATGATACCAAATATCCTCCCTGGATATCCTAGTACAAGTACTGTTGTTCTCTGCAGTCGCAGTCTGTCAGCTAAGGCCCAGCCAAAAAGAACAAGGAAGTGTGAAAAGACCAAAACAAGGCACTTCATTAATCAAGGGGCAAAGGACTTTTTGCTTAAATTAAGTTTTTCCTATATGATAGCAAGCAGATAAATGTAAAAGGCTTCTAAGGTTAGGCCTGCCCATTCAAAGGGATTTTTCTCTTTTTCGCCTTCCTTTTATAAATACCAGAAATGCCAATTTCTGCATAAATAACTTATCTTGAATCCTGGTGAAGCAGACAGCACTGCTGAGAACAGCAGCAGCTTTCAATGAAACTTTGGAGAGGGAGGGAGGAAGGGCTGGCTCCGAGCTTGGCACACGAAGGCAGAGATGATCTTGTCTAATCAAGGTCTGTATTAGCTGTGGAATGAATCCATGTTACTAATAAAGAGATACATAATACAGAGAAGTACTTATCATGCAAAAGCAGAGGGGGGGGGGGGAGGAAGGAGGGTATTTACAAGAAAAAAGCGGGGGGGGGGGGGGAAGGCAAGGCTGCATGGTGTAAATCATGGGAGGGTAACAGGATGCAAAGAGAAGAGCTCTGTCCTCAGATACACAACGCAGAGCCTGTGATGAACCATGAATATCAAAAAGAAGAAAAAAAAAAACTGTTGCAGGCACTTGTAAATAAATATTTGGGGAAAAGGCCCAGGCAGTGAGGGGAGCCCAGGAATACCTGTTCTTGTTCATTTTCCTTATGAACCTTTTTGTAACACAGCTGTCCCCTCACCTCCCACTGCCACTATACGGAGCAAAGCAGATCTCACTGACACGAAGACATGTCCTACATAAAGACACACTCAGGGACCCCACGATTTTGACTTGCGCACAACTTTCAGAACTTTCCGTTTTGCATGAGCAATGTTCAGGCTAATCCCGTAACACTCCTACTTCTATTACAGCAAATCTAGTGGGCTCTCTTGCAGTTATCAGGGGTCTTGATCTTCTCCTCCGTTACATACTGCAGAAGGTCTGAGCAAGAGGTAAAAACACTCTCCAGCCCCTCTGCACACAGACAGGGGGCAAAGCAGGGCCAGAGACCCAGCTGACTTCATGTAGAAACACTGCTCGGTGGATTTTACTTCCACAAGTGTCTGATCACAAGTTTCCGCTCCAAATCAGACTCTCAGACCCACACCATAAATGAGCAATGAGGTCAATGATTTACTGTTCATCTCATCTAATACCTCTGGGCTATGCCACCCTTTTGTGAACACATAAAAATCAAAGACACTGTGAACCATCCAAGTTCACGCAGGGTTTTGATTCACTGAAGGCTCTAAAACTTAGAAATTGCAATCCCAGAGCTGGTGAGGAACTGGGAGAGGCAATCGCATTACACCCAACCTTGAGTGGTACTCCTGCCCTTATAGCACAAATGCCTGAGATAACGCTCATGCCAAGCTCTTAGCTTGGCTTTTTACAGGGTCCTATGCCTCTAGCTATGTGGGTGATACGGCTAGCAGCAAATTTGGTAGCTAACTGCCATTCCTGGTTGCAAAGGTCAGATTTTCCCATTGAACAGCTCTTTTCCTGTCTGGAGAGGAGGTGGCACTGACCGGGGCCCTATCCTGAGAACAGACGTCGAAGCACACAGACCCTCTACACCTTCTCCTCCCATCCCATCTGATGGCTGAATCTAGTCCAAAATGCATGCTCAAACTTGCATGCATGCAACATGCCACTTACATGAGACAAAATCTATGGCAAGTTTATTTCCTTCAGGGACATGATAAAAATAAATCTACCACTACCTTGCAATTTTTTGCTCATGCATTGTGCCATAAGTCTGTAGAGACTGTCTTCTATACACTTTCTTGCATCAAATTATTACTGAACTGGCACCAGTGTTTCAACTCATGTTGCCAAAGCACAGTCATGTTAACAACCACAGGGGTGACTCAGATGGGACAGTGTCACTGCAGTGTCTGGGAATGGATGCAGGTCACTGCAGTGACAAGAAAGATCTTCCAAAAGGTGCAGAGTTCCAAAGCAGTCTTGATTTAGTCTCATTAGAGTTGACACAGGATCTTTTGTCATGCCACCTCCTTTGAACATGAAAGAGGACAGCTCCTCTACCTCACAGTATTAGCTATAAGACCAGTTATAGGCCCAACATTATTTCAATCCAGCAGATCCTGTATTAACAAGATAACAATGACTAATTAGAACTTGCGTGACTTGCCAACAAGCAAAGGAACCGCACAAAAAAACAGCAAGAAAAATTGTGGCAATAATCTGATAAATTCTGTTACCTGAGAACTAGGCACAAGGGCTTTCCACCAGTGTCCACCTTTCACAAGGTCTACATCACTCAAGGGCATTGACACTTTGCCAATAACACAATGGCGTGAGAATTTGTCAAAATCCACTACGGTTAAAAGCAGAGTTCTTCTCTGGGCTTCTAAAAAGGGGATTTCAAATGTGTACCTCTCTTCAAACACCGGGTTCTGCGTTTTGCGTTTCACTCCAGTCTGCTTGGAGTTCTTCTGATCAGGAAGAAGGCAGATCTTCACATAGGGGTTGGAGTGAGCCATGTCTTGCCTTGAACCGTCGTAAGAAATTGGAGGAGGCAGATCTTTAGCCTCAATGACTCGCACTATTAGATAATTATGCAACAGGTCGTACTGAGTGCTAAAATGCAGCATGCCCAGCTGATACTTTGATAAGATCTCCTCATCTGTCAAGGAGTCCATATCATCGCTATTCGAGTCAAGAGAGTACAGTCTTGGTTCAAATTTTCTAAAATAGTCATCTGGGGTATAGGTTTTTCGCAGGATAGTTGGCTGAACTATTTCTTTCTTAGCTCCTATTATTCCAAACTCGATAGGTTTAATGTCAACTAATGGAGAACTTGGCCTCCTCGACTCTAAACCTAGACAAGAGAAATGCACAAATTTGATTGTTAGAAATTCAACTGAAGCCATTACAGGCACAAGTCAACTTGTGCTTCTTTGGGTACAGCTACTCTGTGTCTGTGCAATGCCTAGCACAGCGGGCTCCCCAGTGGGACTTTTCACCATTATGTTGCCAACAATTAATAGCACCCTTAGTTACGCTGAAGTGCAAGCTCAGCTACACTTCCCCCCCCCATCCTTTTTCACATCTAATTACCATGCATATGCTTCAGCAAGAAAAAACAGCACTGTCCCCTTCCACTGTGTTGCTGCAGAACAGGATGAGATTTTAATCAATGTACCTTCAACTTGACTTGATTCCCTGTCTAAAAGATGAAAGAGCAAGCACTACAGTTTGATTTTCTTCCCCACAAGAATTACATTAATGTTGGAAGGACGACCTTACTTGAAATCCGCCTTGTGAGGCTGTAAGTGGACCGTGATGCATCTGAAGACGACCGCCTTCTGTCAGGGGAAACATCCTGAAGAGCGGGAGGCAGCTCACTGATTGTATTATCGGAGTCTCCATCTTTGTCCTCATTTTGGCTGCTTATCCTGTTATAATGAGAGACCTTTGGGTGATTCAGCCCAGTAAAAGGAGTATATACAGAATAAAAATGCATTCTGGTATTCTCGTTCTAATCTTGGGCGCACATCCCTGGATGCTGCGGGGTATCTCCTGATCTATTTGGCAAGCAAAAGGCTGAGCAACTGACTTCAGACCTATGTAAAAAACAGATTCTTTATCTTTCTGCCTGTCTTTCAAACAGAGTTATATCACTATTAGAGCACGACAGAGGCCACACAGGCACGTGTGACTCAGATCTTGATCAGAAGTATTATATTTGTCTTTAAGAAAAAGAAAGGGAAAAAAAATACCCACAAACCACAAAACCCAAACAGTAGCTTACGGCTGTAAATTCACAGCTCCACTTTGGAAGCATGGCCTTCGCTAGGAACGAATCAGCACGGGAAACCACCACACAGACATCTCAAACCTACCATACACCTCTCAGTAAAATATTGCTCTGCAGGTACACCACTAAGGTTTCAAAACTCAATCTTATAAATATAATTAATTAACAGCTATTTATTGACATGCCTTTTTAAATAATTGGCTGCTTTTTATCCTCTTCTATAAAGCAGAGGCAATTCTCACAAGATAGTAATTTTACTGCCCAGGGGTCTCAGCGGAAGCAGGAAAGTTGGCAGGATCTAAATAACAAAGCAAGCTGCAGCAAGAGCTGTGGCGTGTTTCAGCAGACTCAACAGAAGACTGGCATCATGAAGAAATCCATATGTAATTCCCATTTCAGTTTTTATTTATGTGTGTGTGTATATATATGTTGTTTTCATATAAAACAACATTCTGGTTAAAAACCTCAATGTGTCACAGCCTTAGTGGCTCACAAAAGCAGTCAGGACCTCCCAACCTTGACTGAAGGAAGAGCAAGAACAGTAACAAGTAGAGGAGATAAAGTCTCCAACTGCACATTCAGAGGGGAGCGGCTGGCAGACATCTGCCAATGGAAATGAAATCACACAATGGTATGCGATATGTAATGCATCATGCAAAATAAGCCTTTTGGTTAATCCATGAGACACAGTACTCCAAAAAATAGCAGCAGATCACAAGGAAAGCATCAGCATGAAATGAGCAAAGCAAAGAGGAATACTGTGCGAGTTTTGCTCCTGATTCACCCTTTCTACGTGCATGGCTCAGTTGGGTATAAACGAAATACATTGAATCGTTTGCTTTAGTAACCAATGACTGGACTAGAACAATAAATATAATCTGCAAAAAGCAGCAAACTCACAGAAAACACCCCGCAAATATAAAATACATTTAAACTGGAATTTCTTATCCAAATTCACAAAGTTCACACCAGGATCCACGCAAATCTCACCACCCAGAGTCACACAACTCACCCACATTAAAAAAAAGTCTGCTAATAATCAAAACCAAACTGTACGCTAAAAGGGGCATACAATATTTGCACAACTCTGCAGCCCGTTAAAGGCAGTCCAAATCATGCCGTTTGACATATAATCAGTCCTTGGAACACAAATAGCTTTTTCATGCCTAAATGCGGGTCTACACAATCATAGGTAGCATTTGGGTATACTTGTGTTTGAGAAGCAAATGCATAGAACAAGGAGAAGGCAGGGTGAAAAGAGAATCAGGAAGAGAGGCATTAAGGATGTTCTACAACGGGTAAACGTAATAGTGAGTTAATAACATACAGATGACCTTTAGTAAGGAAATTGCTACTGAGCCACAATAATTTTTCCTCAAATAAACTTTGGCTCTGTTTAAAGCAGCTCTGTTTCTGTTTAATCCAAACCTTTGGGAAGAGGAATCACGTCCTGATTTCAATTCAGTCTCACAAACCATGCACCATTTACCTTTGGGGTTTATGTAAAATATTCCATAACAGGCAGTGCCAACATACACCCTCGTTCCCAGCCCATTTCTGCAAAGACCAGGATGCAAGCGCTCCTCATGAAGTAACAAGAAGCTACTATGCATTCAGGTCAAATACAATTAGACTCACTTCAGTAAGAATTCTTTTTCCTAAGTTGCCACTGTAAAAAATTCAGAAAGTGAGAAAAATCAACAGTCTCCCAAGAGGAAGGGCTTAAACTTGCAGCTTTAACGTCCCCTCCTGAATTTCCAGGACAATGAGGTGTCTCAGAGCTGCCAAAGGGAAAACCTATGGGCAAAAAACAAAGGATGGATTATTAAGCATGGGCATTCAGATGTTTGCTAGCAGACCAATGAAGACCATAAAAGCACTTTTCCCCTGGGGACTGGGTGGGAGGCAAGGAAGGAGCAAATGGCATTCTGCATTAACCCAGTGTCCTGGGCCCATGAAGAAGTGGCAAGATGGAAAGATCTCAGCTGAAAACCTAGATCTATTTTTAAAACGCTTTCAGGCTGTGAGAAGGAAATACAATAAATTGATTTGTTCCCAAATTCAATGCACACATCTAAACGCCGAATATGGTGGTGTCAAATTCATCTTCCATTTTAGGGGTTTCCACTGAATCCAAAGCCCCCTTTTCAAAAATAAAAGAAAAAAAAGGGACAAGGGGTCATTTGGCATACACAGATCTCCAAGCACTTAAAAACATACCCATTAAACACCTCATTCCGCGAGCAATTCCAAACCTGCTCACACATCTAACTCCAGACATTGTTTCCTACCTCCAAAAACAGATATGGAGAGTGTAAGATCAATACAGTAAAACCAGGTATCTTCTTTGGCTTCTGAATTCTGAGCCAGCAGAGGCTGCATGGGATTGTTCCCACCCTAAACCTGCACACACAAAAAGCGCAGCCCTCCCATTGATCAGCAAACAAAATACGCCGTTTCTGTTTCCTGTCTTGTACTCTCCTTTCCTCTTCGTCTTCCAGACTCTTGTTCCCCTATAGGCTCATTTGCTCCCCGTCTCCTCTCAATCACATCCCCTCGGCTCCTTTCCCTCTCCGTAGCTCCTCTGCTCTCTTTGCCCTCCTCACTCGACTCATTTCTGGGTTCCCTCACCATTTTCTAACAAAGTCACCCTGGAAGCTTAAAGCATTGCCATCTTCCTTGGCACCACCCTGGGTCCATCCCAGCTCAAGAAGAAGAGCCACCAGCCTTTTCAAGCAAGCAAAGCCTGATCTCCAGCTTCCACATCAACATATGTTAACAGGCGTCCTTAGAGGTCACAGGATTTGCAACAGTGCCAGAGGAGATGGTGACTTCAGTGATCCTAAGGCATGGCAGCATCTGTGCCTCCTCGCAAAGCAAAGCTACGTCTCTCATGTGTCCTCTTCTTGGATCCCTGCTGCCCCTCCCGGGCACTACCTCTGGGAACTCACCTTCTCCCAGCACTAGAGCAGAACAGGGACACCCTAACTGCACTAGATCACCTGAAGCTGGAAGGAAAGAGGGATACATGACCTAGGCTGGGGTCCTGGGGACCCTACCCAGGGCTGCTAGCTTGAGGAGGTGCAGCATAAAGTCTGCAACATGTTTGAAGAACTGGGCTTTTTTTTTTTTCAGAGCGCATTGTCTTCTGTTTACGGCCATTCCAGTAAGTTAATTGTAGAGGCTTTCAGATGGAGCAGGACCGGAGGAAAACAACGCAGGCTGGAGAAAGCATTTTATGAGTCCAAAGGTCTCCATGCTCTCTGCCTGTGGCGAAGTCCAGCTCATCTGCAAAGTTACCATACATCCGAGTTTTGAGATCAAAAGAAGAACAGAGCTTCAATGCTTACAATGCCCCTTTAGCCAGACAGATGGATCCAGCAGTCAAAAACTACACCATGGGACAATTACCCCACACACCCAAACACACATGATGTCCCTTCTGTTCCTCAGCACACCAGAGAAACTCCAAAGCTTCCTCTCACATCAAGACTAGCTACTTGTTCCCAAGTATGTAATTGTTCCTGCAGCAATCCTTCTACATCCAATACCGCAACCTCATCACTGTGTTCTCCTGTGTGCAATGCTTTCTTATTTAGCATTGATTTTGTTTCCATTTCCCATTAATTGCAGGTGAATCCATTTCTGGGCATATATCGGACTCTTAAATATGCTGCTCCACACTTAAAAACCACTCTAACACATCTTGAACATCTCTATTTTTATTGCTTCAGTATTAATTACCATCCTATTCTACCTGGATTCCAAAGAGTATATAGACAAGTCTGCAATTTAAACATGAGACAATTTATTTCCTGCAGCACCAAGACATGGACCTTCCACACCTGACACCGAACAACAGTGGGTACTCACAGGAGTAGATAAAATTAACTGAGTGTCTCAGTGCCTAGGTACCAACTTCTGAGCATCATATGATGCACTAAATAGGCATCTCCTGTGCCACAGCCTCTGGACACACCAAAGGCGTGTCCATCAAACGATCTGCTCTCTCAGAAGACAGCCCAGCCCAGCCAACAGAGCAGACACTAAAAGACAGGAGACCTCTGCTCCCTTCTTGGTTTCACTAATGCCACAGGGCCACCTCCGTGCTGCAAATTCCCAAATGAGAGGAAGTAAACCAGCAAAGACTTAATTGACTTTCTTTGTAATAGATTTGCAAAAACACTAATCAAAGGCCCAGATAAAACCCGGCGTTGCTGCTACTGTTCTTTAATGATTCAAGAGGAAATCTTGAAGAGTACTAAGATGACACAGGAGATCAAGTATTGCTAAGTGAAACTTTAGATGAATTTCCCCTTTAGAGCACACACAAGGTACGCCTTTCATCTGCCTATATGATGATAGGCATATATATGATAACCACCTTCACGCTAGGATAAGAAAATGTTTCAAAACAACCTCATCAGCATTTCAGCTAAGTTCAAGTGCTCCAAAGGGCCGGTCCATTTGAAGAGGAAATAGGACTGAAGATGAAAAGCATCTTTAGAAAAGGGTGCACAGCTAAACCAGTTATCAGCTTCCTATGCCAGCTTACAAAATAACTTCTTACTCATCAGAAAAGTGTTTTACAAAGACTAGCCTTACCATTTGAGCTAACAGGGCTGCCCTTTTTCACCTTGCCGTTGAGTAGCCTACATTCCCACCCTCAGAAGGAGGTTCCTCCTTTCTATGTGGCATCCTCTGAACATTCTGTCGCCATTTCGCATCAATACTCTCATTACAGCTGAACAGCCCTACTCCTCAGTCAAAGCTATGAAATTGTGCATCTACACTTACAGCCACGCTGGAGTTTGAGCAGGAAAAGGTCCCAGGATTTCAACTTCATCTTCATTTGTTTGACAACAGCTACAGTCGAAACACTTCTGACAACAATTTCTACAAGTCCACCGGCACAGCAAGAGATCCGAGATTCTAGCGAGCAGACCCTGAAGCCATTGGAAACCAAAGTACAAGATTACAACCCATCAGTAGCTATTGAGAAATAACATTCAGCTGTATTTATGTTTGTGTTTCTGCAACAGAACATTAAGAACTATATTTATTCCATCTATATCAACAGACAAGTGCTATGCAGTTACCAGCCCAACTTCACTGATGCTATAACAAGGCAGGAAAATAAGCATTCACTGCAGGTATTTTCCCTCTAGTAGCCATGTATTATTATGTAGGTTGGCAACGAGGTGATTTACAAAACACTATGGCGTAGCAATATGCTAGAGTGGAAACAGGCTTATTCTTTCACGCACATCAACAAACTAATAGGTCGGCAAATGTACAACAGAAGGAATTAAAAACAGAAGGTAAGTGAAAGCTCCGATTTAATCCGGCAAGGGTCTATTTAATTTGAAAATCTTAACACAGCCACGTGAACACATTTCATCCCTGTAGATGTATCAGCACGTAATGTTTGCGTACACATACAGCATTACAACCCGACAAACTTGCCACTAAAATGGATTAGCAAAAGCATGCTATCCACATGTCTCCCCTCTGCTATGATGATTAATTTAATGAAGAACCTTCAGTGATTTTTTTTTTTTTTTTAAAGAAGTTACTTGACCCAGAAAAGCATTTAATTTCTTAGGTTTCCACAGTGGCACTGGCAGCATCACCTATAACAGTGCTCCTCTGCTGTTACAACCACGGGGTGCGAGCGCCCCATCAGAGGGGCAACAGGCTGCTGCCCCATTTCCACGCCATCCCTACAGCCTTCCCTCCACTTCAAAGCTCTGCTTGCTTCAAGAGGAGCAGAAAGCCAAACCTTAGCCCATTTCCCACCCACGCCAGCTCCAACTTCTGCGGCTTGTAAGAAGGCTCATTAAGCAGCACAAGGGCACTGCTAATAAAGGGCATCGCTCCGCAGTCATGGGGGGGAGACACGCAGCTGCAAGAGCAAGCATGTGCACACCCAGGGTCGAATCACTTTACGATTGTATGTGACCTTGAAATGTTACCAAGAAGCTGAAGAAATAAAGCATGTGAGAATGTCTCTGTAGATGTCCCCCCAAATTATTGAGACATCTACAGTATCCACGAGTGTGTAGATACAAGGGCACTATCACACCACACAAAGGGGTTTCCTCTGAGGAACACAGATCTGCAGAGAAGACTCCACAGGAACGTTTTTTTTGCTCCAGTAAAACACACATTTTTTTCCATTACAAAAAAAAAAAAAAAACCCCTACCAGCCCAAAATGCAGTGCATTACTTATATCTAGGACATCAGTAAAGAGTCAGAAAATACGAGACAATCCCCTCAGGATGGAGCGAGGAGACAGAGCGGAGAGTGAATCATCAGATTAACTTACCTCATTTATTGGTTCCAACTGTCCTTTTAGACATCCAGGATGAAGCAAAGGGGGAACAAAATGAAAAAGACAAAAACAGGTTAGCAATGCTCAAATAACTTTAAATTTTCTGCCATGACATGCCCTGGCCTGGGATGAGCTTGGATTTGTGGCAAGACAGTACCTTGAAAATGTTAGAGGAAGGAGAGGTCTCCTGACCACGCATCAGCTTCTGCTGTTTCCGAGTCCCTCCCCACCAAGCTCCCTCTGCTCCTCCTTCCCAAGGAGTGAAATTCCCAAACCCATCCTGGAGCATGAAAATCCTGCTCATTGCCCCTTGCTAATGGGGTATCACGTGCAACCACTTATTTTCTTTTCTTTAATAACCTGTCTCTAATTGCAGCAAGTACTTGCTGCTGACAGCAAACCATATCCAAATTTTCCGGTTAGATGCCACAGTGGAAAAAAAGGCTTTCCTCCAGATTCAGCCCATATAAACGCAGTTGCAACGCTAACTGACTAAAAGCAACGTTTCTAGGAAGGGGCACAGACTCAGAATACTCTCCATTATGTACACATCCCTTGAGGTAGCTGGGTATCTTCAGTCTCATCCTCAGGTATGACTTGAAGAATACAAAAACAGAAGTGCTTAAAACTTGAGTCACACACTCCAGTTCAAAAATCTGCACTACAGCCACTTCCCCCAAGTCACAGAGAAAATCTACAGCAAAGGAAGAAATCATCACAAGCCACTGTTTCATTCACAAAGCCACCCTTGGAACATTATACTTGACCCACTTCGCTGATAACTGGAGACAGTAGCATTTCAGATGCCTGCTGAAACGTCTTTCCTATCGCTTTCCGTCTAATGCCTAAGAGTCTCCTAATTGTCCTGGCTGTCTTTCTACACAGGGAATGCCTAAAAAAAAAAAAAAAAAAAACCAAACCACAAAAAACACACAACAAAAAAACTACACAACACCCTCCCACTCTACTCTTCCACATGTAGAAATTGGTTTCCAGCTTTACGCTCATGACAGGGACAAGAGCAGCCTTTTATACAGAAGCTGAGATGCAGAAGTTGCCTTTAGTTCCAAGAACTCTCCCATGGACCAAATTTCAGCCCAAGCCTCCCTTTTACACTTCTTGGAAACCAGTGCTGGGTGAAAAGGCCACCACTTGTTTGAAACACAAATTAAGAGGCTGGAAATGCTGCAGCACAATGTGACAAGACAGTGATTACCAGATACTCATGGACCAACTGTTTAAGAAAATCCTAAATGGTTAAAAGGGCTTTATCATTCCTTATTAATGCAAAGTTGCAGCCAAAGCACGGCAGCCAAAGCTACAGTGGTTTAGCAAAGCTGCAACAAGAATATTCAAATTGCTCTAAAATGAAGCGGCTGGATCCGTGCCACACGATCGAACGCCGTAGCACGTGCTGTGCGAAGGAAGTGGCATTTCTGAACGGCCCACAGGGACACACAGTTGGCTTATGTCAAACAGCCCTCCTGGTTAGGATCGGCCACTGGTGATGTGAAACCATTCCTGTGTGCCACCAGTCCAAAGAGCACACACAGCAGTCCCACAGGCACCGTAATAAAGTGCCTCTGTGACCACCCACAAATCTCTGCCAGGAAATGGGAGGACTGAAATAAGAGCTAAATCATACAGTGCAGAAGAGGTAAACAAGTAACCAGAGCCATATAGGGCTTAAATGCAGGGACCTATTGAAGGAGAGCAAACACGACCAGCTGCGTGCATCCACCTCACTCCCACCGGGCAGGAGGGTCAGGGCTGGGGAAGGGCAGAGGTTTAGGGAAGCATGCGACAGCCAACAGGTGCTGGGGGACCCCCGGGAGCAAAGCTGCTGTAACATGCTCAGCACCCCAGGAGAAGCGCTGGGACCCCAGGGCCAGGGAGACACGGTCATGCCTTGCCACGTCGTCCCAAGCCAGATGAGGACAACCCAGCTGGGAGCCCCAGCCATGAGCGAACCCTCCTCAAGGGCCGACCCCCGCTGCCCCAGGTGCATCCCCTCGCCTGGAGTCAGGCGCAAGGCAGGGCTGCATCCCCGCTTCACACCTTGCTGCAGGAGCCAGCAGC